ATACCTAGAGGAACCGTTGGCAAAAATTTTTGCCGAGACACCATTGTGCCCTGATTTCAGCCAAATTCATCGAAAAGCGCCGAATCCAAAAAATAACGCCGAGCAATATGAAAACTGCCGACTTCAATGGTTTTCAGTTGCTAGATTCTCAAACCAACACTTGCCAGATCTTGCCAGTCTTACCAAGCCCTTCCCCGCCCCCTTTCCCAAACCAAACTACAGGGTGACCATCCACAGTTTGGGCTTACATATGATGACCAAGGGATTGGCATCCACAGTTTGGATACCTTGGAATCCTTGCACGGCACAGATGAGAGTTAATCCACAGTTTGGGAGTGCTTACAAAGAACACACTTAAAAGATCCAACAATGTTTGCCTAAGTTCATGCCGTGTCTTCCAGACCTTCTCGATATTTCCCCTACGGTTTTCTTGAAAGGCCAATCCAGGCAAGCAAAGTTCTGTCTTTGCTTCTCCGGATCACTCTCCAAACAATGCTTTGCCGCTTTGCCCTTTCATGATCCAACCTCTCTTGACAAGGGTGGTTGTAGAACAGCTGCAACTCACAATTGGGCCAACAAAAAGATCTTTCCAGTGCAGCCATCCAAGATGTTGATTCTTATATATAGGAAACCCCAACCAAGCATAAACATGGTTACAGAAATTTGCGCCGAATTGTCGGGCAATTACGCCGAATTATCGGATATTTACGCCGAATTATCGGGCAATTACGCCGAGATCTAGGGATGACAAAACTTTTGAAAGCTATGAACAACTTGACTGCCACGATTCACGCAAGGGTGCCCGGTTGGTTCACGGTGAGTTTGTGTTGAATTATGCATGGTCCATGCACAGTCCTCTAACTTTCACCTTGGTGATGGAATCAAACCTCTCCATTCACCGAATATGTTCAACAACAGCTTTGTGCCACTGCAAACATAGGAAATCAGGGAAGAGGGTTGCGTCCGGCCACAGAAACCATTTGGCATTTCTGCCAGGCCTTCTCTATTATTCTATAATTTTAATAAACGGTTTCCTTGATCGGATCCATGGCTGGATTTGAGTGTTTACAATGAATCCCTAAGCCAACAATGCTTGGCAAGAGTTAGGAACTACATACTGAAGAAAAACACTGGGCGTGAACAGCCAGGGCGCACCTGAAGAATGCCCGGTTCACCAGGTATTTGATCCCTAGAGGATTGTCGAGCCAAGTTATCATGAATCACCACAACCCGGATTGGTTCTGCATCTAATCAACCAATCAATATGTTCAAGAACTTCAAAAACCAAAAACGCCGAGTCTATCTTGGTTTTAGCAAATTACGCCGAATGCCCTTTTTCAGGGCAAATTACGGGTAAAGGCGCTTTTTGCTGAGGTGGCAGAATTTTTGGTGCATTTAGAGTCTCTAGGTATACATGGGCCTACCTGGACCCCCTTTCAAGCACCCGAACTCACCAGCCAAATCAGCCAAATATGCTTTCGAAACCGGGCGTTGTTTTCCGAAGTCCCGGAGCCTTGAACTTCGGTCCAGTCCGGCTATGTCAAGGTTCGACACTGCCGAACGGCCCTACCGAACCTGAGCTTGGGTGGATCCGTGGATGAACCGGGACAGGTGGCCGCGCGGTTCTCCGCGCAGCCGCACGAGCTGAGGTGGACCTGTGACAGTGAGCCGTGTTGGTTGTTTAAGTTTAAATCCAGTTTAAGTTCAATCATTAATCCTTTGATTGTGGCCCCGAGATTGGAGCCCCAATCTAGTCTGACACTTTGCACTTGGGAAAACGGCAGTGCCTTTGAAGGCACAGAGCGTTTCCTCGAATCTATTCTATTCAAATCGCTTTGCACACCTTCCAATTCATTCTCGCGATGCCTCCATCGGAGTAGCAGTGAGACACATCGCATGCAAAATCTTCTTGCATCAGATCTGATGATAGTTTTATACATGGCGCCAATTCATTGCACGAGATATCTGGCACGAGCCACTCGTTTTTCGGACGAGTTGGACGAGCGAGGTTTCCATGGTGATGTTTGCAAGAAAACATGTGGATCCAGCACTTTTGAACAGCTCCCACTGGCTCCCACCAAGGGAACCATTGGACCATGTACTCCCATCCATTGGACCATGTAGTCACCAGGTGACATCAGTGCTGGGGAACGGCGTGACTCTTCCCAGCCGTCTTCCGGTCTTGTGTCTTCTTGTTCAGGTCAACGAGTCGGTCAACGCGTCGGTTACCAGGGGTCGGAGTTCTCGGCACCCCGACCTCCGAGTGCCCAAGGGGGAGGAAGTCAATGCGAAGGGGTGGGTGCCTTAAGCCCATCCACGTGCCCTGCCATCCGCGGCACCTGGATGGAACCCCCACAACAAAAATCAACTCGGAACTGCAGAGACATCCAGAATCGAGTCGGAGGGTGACAGATGATGATCTGCGTGGGGTTTCATGCGATCTCTCTCTCTCTCTCTTTCAAAGCCCAAAAAACGACACGACGAATGGACGCCAGGGCCATCCGCGGCGTTTCATGCCATCCGCCGTGGTTTCTTCGGGTCAAGTGACCGGTCTCTAGGACGCGAACGGAGGCAATCCTAGGCCGCTTTGTGACATGCCCTTCATGAAGTAGGTACCAGTACCTGGATCTAACTTCAGGTATACCTTGGAAAATGGGACATGAGGACATGACCCTTTAAACAGATGTACAAATAAAGGTATATATATATACTTATATAGTCGAGATGGGGACGGATTCGTGTCCAACGTTCTAGGACCTAGGATCTCAAGGACAGTCACTGACTGAAGGTCCTGGTATGTTTAGTGCTGCAGTCCCATGGATGGTCCATAGTAGATGTCTATAGGAAAGGAACCGTTGAACTCTCGTTTTGCTGCAAGCATGGCAGAGATGCAGAGATCGGTTTAGTCTTAGGGACTGAAACCTACAGGTTCTTGTGCATACACTATGTGGTTGTATTACGTCGAAGCTTCCAAGACCATTAAAGCTTGATCTGGTTTGCCGAATGTTTGACCACTTCATCGGCTCTTCGGCTCTTCAGGATTCGGCAGAATCCGTCGGCTGGGTGCTTTTGGGCTTCGATGAGTTGAAACTCCATTGTTGTAGTTTCTAGACCGTTCCGTTCGTAGCTTCAAAGACCGTTCTGTTCGGGTCCTCCTTGCCACGATAGTATATACCTGGAACTTCAGAGTGCCTTTTTTTCGATCTGCGGCGTGAAAAACATCTTTTGGAGTCACAACCTTATATTGAGTCTGCGGATGTTTCTCTATAGTTTTCTGATGTTTTTCTGATATTCCACGGGCGTTTATGCACAAGCTAAGGGCGTTTATTGGTAAGCCAAACAGTATGTTTTTGTTCGATCATGTTTTTGTTAAGCGGATGTTTATTTTGGTTGCGAATGTTTATGTGGTTCACAGACTTAAATAAAGGTATGTTGAACCACCGACGAAAAAAGGAGCAACCACGCGGTTGCGATCTGCGTCGGTGCCCTCGTCCTTCGTCCACCGTGTGGCTCCAATTGGTCCTTCGCACCGCGCGTCGGCTCGGTCGACCGGGCACCAGACCAGTCCTTACGGCTCGGTCAGGCAGGTCATGGTGTCCCAAGATCGGGTTCCACCCTATCGAACCCCATCCGTTTCAAGTTTCAATCGTTGCATGGCCTTGATGGCAGTCGTTTAGTCGCCCTGGGAAAAGCTTGCGGCGACTCGATCGCCGAGGTCGGGTCATGTGGTCATGTCTGCGCGTCACGTGACGCGGCGAGGGTTGGTCCGCGCGTCTCGAAGCGTGGAAAGGCCCCCGCCATTTTCAAGAGACGCGCCTTGCCGTCTGAAGGGAGGGCTTTTGACCAGGATGATGAAGGTGCAGACATGGACCTCAAAAAGAGGTCCAAGTTCCGGTATTATAGCGATAATCCGTTTCACAATTTTGGGCTATATTACTATGAGATACTATGAGCAACAGAGGCTATATCAGCTGTATCAAAGCATCGCATCTCATTCGCGAGATAGATATTTGGATCTTCCCCGCGGCGAATTCAGGTGTTACCAGATTGCCGGCTTCAGTGGTGCTCAGTGGTGCTCACCTGGCTTCACCATTCCTCCAGTCTTCCCGGCGCAGTCCGCGGGCACTGCGCCACCCCGCGCCACTTCTCTTCGGCTTCAGCGATCTATCGGTCGTGGTCGGAGAAATTGTGCTCGGTGGAGTGCAGAGGCCAAGTTTAAGTTGCCGCCCCCAAGGTTTGCTGCATGATCGTCCGAAAGTTAGTGGCACACCACGGAAAATTTGCAGCGTGAGAGGGGGAGGCTCCGCTGGCATTTGGCGGAACATGTCGAGCCTTTGGATCTTTAGATATGGATCCAGAACTGCTCTAGAACTGCGCTTTGTTGAGTGGGTTGTTGTTCCCATTCACTTTGCGACCCCATTGAGAGAACCTGCCGGTTCAAAGTCCAATCCGGTTGCAAGTGTGAAGGGTCATCATGAGAGCAATTCGCCCATGCGCCCGACCGAATCACTCGAGTGCGCAAGTCCTTAGGCTTTTGGTGGTTTCACTCCGATTTTTCTGCCGTAGATGAAGATGATTTAACATCAGCAAAAGACACGTATACCGAGGCTGGAAGGCCCACTCAGCAAAAGACACGTGCTAGTTATTTAAACTAGATGTTTAAACTTGTGTTCTTTTGATTCCCCACCTGCCACGTGAGGGTTGGATTTGAGGCCGAGCTGGTCAACTCGGCCGAAAGCTACGCGCGCTACGCTTCTCGGGACCCGAGTGCAGTGGGCACCGCTGGACCTCTAGCCCCGAGCGCGAGCCAACCACCGGACCCGAAGCAGACAGAAAGAATGTCAGCAAATATGTGATATAGAACGCTGAATATATGCCAGGTAGAGTGCAAGAATATATGCCAGAAAGAATGTGAGACATTATGCCAGAAAGAATGTCAATGACTATGCCAGACAGAACGTGCATAATGTTATTATGCCAGATAGAACGCCAGATAGAGTGCCAGAGAGAATATCATAATGTATGCGAGATTATGCCAGATCCAATGCCAGTATACATGCAAGATAGACGGTTTCTTGGTGATGTCAAAGCAATATAGCCGTGGGCTATCAGCAAAAATCATGCCATGGTGGGGATCATTCGAAGTATATATATATAGTTTTTGTATGTTGTTGTTGAAGCAAATTGGAGTTCGATTCGTTGGATATGTTGTCATCCTGGGCATTCCCGGGCTTCTTCGACAATGAGAGACCCCGCTTGGACGATGTGGGGCATGTCCATGATTCACAACAACCAGGGGGTGTTTCACCCAGATTGAACATCGATGGTCAACCTATAAATATATGGTACTGTATAGGGAGAGTCCGAACAACCACTAAAGCTGGGTGGTGCTGGCATTCAGCATCGAACTTTCCACGATCACAGGTTCAACAACAGACCGGATTGGCGGACAAACCCGATAGAAATCGAGCAGCGGCGTTGGGGTTGCGTTTGTGAAGACCCGTGGACTGGGTGTTTTCCCTTCCGAGATCTTCGGGCTTCCCCATCGAGTGGGATCTCCTCGTTGGGGCTTGCCAGCCCAAAACGTTTCAACCCATTCCCCGAAAAGACCCACCAACAGCTTGGGATGCCGGAACTTGGAGCTGTTCGGGGTTGGCTTCGTGGATGTATGCTGATGCTTCGTGACTTCAGGTATATATTGTTTAAAAATGGGACGTGACATGACCATGACCTGGACCAAATAGGTACTTGTACCCATCTTCTCCAAGGAACGAATGGGTCGACTCCATATGCCCCAAACAGGGTTCCCACGCCATATGTTCAGGAGGTGGTTAGATCCCCCAAAGCCACCTGAACCACCTGAACGGAGCCCTAGGGATGGATTGCTATCCAAATTCTTTACTGCTACTTGTATTGTCACTGACTCGATCTAAATAAGCGTGTTTCATCTAAGGCCGAAAGAGTTTGTTTCTTGCTTCGACAACCACACACTCCTATGGTGCGAAGCCATACCCGCATGTGGACAGCGTCTCATCCAAGGATAGACGTCCTATCTCTGAATGACTATACACCCTATTCGAACACCAGCACCACGGAAAGGGTTGTGATTGGAAGGAAAATTCAGGGTTGTCTATAAACCGCAAATAAACCCCTTTCCGTGTTGCCGATACGGAGGTTTTGAGAAAAGCGTCCCAAAAGCATGACGCTTTCTTTGGAGAGGGCAGTGTTTCAGCAGTGCTACTCTGCTAGGAAGTTGAGCAGAGACCTCGAGCCCTGGCCTTCTCAGTCTCAGGAGCTCAAAAACCAAACATTTGCAAAGACAGAAGACCTGATTTCAGGGCGAAACAAACACCTCTCTCCGCGTGAAAAACGGATGAAAGGGGGGCTTACATGATGGTACATGAGTTCCTTTCGATTTTTCTCATCCCCCAACCCCTCCTGGTTGAAAAGGACTTGGTCGAATTGCTTGATCCCAAGAACGTGTCGTTTGAAGGTTTTGGAACACCCAGGACGTGCCAGCGGGTCGCGCTTTCTTCTTCGTGCCAGCAGGGCGACGAGCGGTGGATTGAGATCAAGAGACTCCAACATGACAGTGGTGACACCAACATTTGAGGCAAACCTCCCTGTAGCTCACAGACGAGCAAAGCGGATGATCATGTCAACGGCCCTTGGTCAGCGGCCTCATGGCCCACAGGATGGGTGCGATGCACCGTGGGCCACCTCATCAACGGCCTGAATCGAACTCGTTTCCACAGCGGTGTCTTTTTTGGGGCGAGGTCTCAAAAGAAGATACTACTAGGTATCTTAGGACCAGTACCCCAAGCGGTACAAGTATACCCATACTTTGTCTTGGGATCACTACCCCCTTGCGGTGCCTGACCCCCCCGGCGGGGGGGTCAAATTTGTAACTTAAAATGTTTGATTTTGCGAGGATAGCATTATACAGCCCTATTGGGGGGCTGAAAAGTGTTAGATCTAAGGTTGAGGTAGCCTATATTATGAGGATCTTACTTTTTTAACCACCCCCCTCAAAGAGGTCTTGGCCTACTTCTTGAGACTTTCAAAGCAGGGGGGGGTTCAAAATTGTAAGAATGGATGGGCAGGTAC